AAAAAGTGAGCAAAAAGACAACCCAGCTGACTAAAGCAGTATTTTACTTATAGCCCTTTAAGTTGCTTTTTCAACAACTTGATTTCTAACATGATTAATAAAACAGCTTTTACCTGAAATCTAATAATACTGTTCTTTCATCTGAGTTGTACACACAATAACAACTCCAAAAGATGACTTAATGAAAAAACTAAAATGCATGTTCCTTGCCTTTTTTTTAGGAAAAAGAGAACATAAGATCAATATTTGCTTTTCTCAGATCTCTTTATATCTCAAAAATGCATTAAAAAAATATAACTTACTATCTCTTTCAAACGACCATTACAATGTGCTATAAGTCCCACACTAACAAGTCCTACTTTCTACTAACTCATGTATATACATGCATTGTTTTCTAAACCAGAATACCACCAAAGGCTTCAGTCAATAGTAAACAAGCACTCACACACACCTATCAGGCACATTCGTATTCTTTACCTTGCTCAGTACTTCCCAAGCTTTTTCAGATTTTGAAATCCCATTTTAAAATGCTTTGTTTAAAAAAAAAAAAAAAAAAAGTCTCATCCACTCTCAGCACTCTTTGAGTTGCAGCTTTCTCAAAAATCCCTTGGGCAGCTACCAGACTCCTTTCTAGTACAGTATGATACAGAGTGAAGCATGCTAAGTATGTATTCTCATTCACCATCAGAATAGTCCTGCTGTTTGAGTTCCTCTCCCCACATACACAAATATATGAAAAAAACATTGTTTTATATTCACGCTCAAAAAAGGAAAAAAAACATCACTATGTCCTTCCCTTTCACTATGCTTTTCATCTTCAGGTAAAGTTTCACTTAATTATTACTGTTTAATTTATTACACAAACACTTCAGTACCTTTTCTTGTTTAAAAATAAGAAGTGGAAATATTTTGCACTTACCTAAATTGTCATCAGGGTAAATTAAGTGAAGAAAAGAACGATGATAACATCCAAAAATGAAATTAAAGTCTGCAAGCATGCATGTATCTCTTAACAGAGAGGTATTGAAAAATAAGCTGAAGAAAGCAGGAGACAACAGTACAGTGACAAACAGAAAATAAAACAAATGAACATGCAGAAAACATTGAATTTTAAAATATCTTAGAGCATACTTTCATGGGTCATAAATACTATATTGCAGTAGTGAGGTAGGAAAATATCGTTTACTGTCTCTTCTTTTACAATGCAGGTAAATGAGAAGTTTCCTTTGTATAACATGCTATGCATCAGAAAGCAAGTAAGTATTGTTTACCATTTTTATTAGAAAACATATGGTAGTCTGGTAAAGATTTTACTAGTAATATACTTTAATACAAAGAATGGAAACATTTCAAAATGTTCTACTGTATTTTCCTTTAGTTTTCTACTTAAAAACTTGTCACAAAGTAAAAATGAAGAGCATGGAAAATACAATCGACCAGCCTGACTTGCAACTCTGATTTTATGAATATTCATTTGCTTATCTGCTGATTAAATTAATATATTTTATCAGCTCTGTTCTCTTAAGTATGAGTTATTAATACTACTACAGACACACAAAAATTATTTCAAGGAATAATTCTGTATTCAAACCTATGAGTCTCTCAGAGGAACTGTTCAGTACCCTTTTTGTCCTTTCTTTTTTCATTAATTAAAACTCCTGCAGTAGCAGGGCAGGAATTACACTTCAAAGGAAAATCAAAATTTATAATATGTTTCAAAGAACACATTAAACAATCTAACATTACCTGTTTTTCTGTAAGGCAATAGAATAAAAAGGATCAAACTCACCGTTTATTTCCAACATGGTCATATAAACACATCACAAAAGAAAAATAACCACTGTTCATTGTGTGCAGTGACTCATATTTGTATTGATTACATAGTATTAAACAAAGACATTTATAAGCTGGGTTAGGGGCCATTATTTTATGCAACTCGGTATATAGTTTATTGAAATGACACCATAATAAATCTAATTCAGCTTTTAAAAAGTCATAAAAACATATTAAATGATAAAAATTAATGCATGATATAAAAACCAGTCAAGTAAAATGGATCCATTTTGTGGAGTTCTGTTGTTGTTTTTTTGTTTTGTTTTGTTTTTGACACTCAGGAAACAATCTTAGGAATTAATTTTTTGAAGATTTTTGTGTCATCTCGGTGTTGCACGTCCTTCCTATCATGCATTCTCACATTCTCCTGTCTGAAAAAGAACAATGTGAGGGGTGCCATATTCAAAAGTCATAGCTGTCATGTGAAGTTCCCACTGACCAGAAAAAGGAAAACACCACTTCCATTTTTATGAAACGTGGACAGAAAAGTCCAGAAAACTTCAGGTCAGTAGCCTCATCTCTGTTCATGGGAATATCGTGAAACAGATCCTCCTGGAAGCTATGTTAGGGCACTTGCAAGAAGAGGACATGATATATGACAGCCAACATGGCATCATCGAGGTCAGATTGTGCCTCATCAATCTGGTGGCCTTCTACAATAGAGTGACGGCATAAGTAGATTGTGTCATCTACATGGAATTCTGCAAGGTCTTTGGTATGGTCCCACACCACATTCTTAGCTCTAAATTGAAACAGTACAGATTGAAAGGGTATCCACTATTTGGTGGATAAGGAATTGCTTTTATGGTCACAGTTGGAGGGTTGTGGTCAACAGCTCTATGTCCAGATGGAGGCTGGTGACAAGTGGTGTCTCCCAGGGGTCCATCCTTGAAGCAAGTGCTCTTCAATAACTTTATTAATAATGCAAATAGTGGGATTGAGTATAACCTCAGCAAGTTTGCTGTTGACACCAAGCTAAGCGGTACAGTCAGTAAGATAGAAGGACAGGATGCCATCCAAAGGGATCTAGACTAGCTTGAAAAGCAGGCTCATGAGAACTTAATGAGGTTCAACAAGACCAAGTGCAAGTTGTTGCACCTAGTTTGTGGTAATCCCAGATATGTCTACAGACTGAGAGAACTCATAGAAAGTAGCTCTGCAGAGAAGGACTTGGAAGTTTTGGTGTATGAAAAGCTTGATGCAAGTTAACCATGTATATTTGCAGCCAAGAAGGCCAACTGTATCCTAGGCTGCACAAAGGAACACGGTCAGCAGGGTGAGAGCGGTGATTGTCCCCCTCTACTCTGTTCTCATGAGGCCTCATCTGGAATCCTGTATTCAGGTCTGAGCTCCCAACAAACACAAGACAGGGCTGTTGGATCAGATCCAGAGGAGGCCACAAAGATGATCAAAGGGCTGGAGCACACCTCCTGTGAAGAGAAGTTGAGGCAGCTGGGCTTATTCAGCTTGGAGGAGAGGTTCTCAGGAGACCTCAGTGTGGCATTCCAGTACTTAAAGAGACTTTATAAACAGGAGAAAGGTTTACTTTTTACATAGACTAATAGTGCTACGATAAGGGGGAATGGTTTTAAACTAAAAGAAAGGAGATTTAGTTAAGATGTAAAGAGGAAATCTTTTACTCAAAGGTTGGCAAGGCACTGGAACAGGTTGCCCAGAGATGTTGTGGCTGTCTCATTTCTGAACGCATTCAAGACCAGCTAGGATGGGGTCCCATGCAGTCTGATCTACTCTTCCCATGGCAGAGGGACTGGATGATCATTAAGGTCCCTTCCAATGCAAACCATTCTATGATACCAGAGGTTGCAGAGACTATAATTATACGCAGATTCAAAAGCAGACTCACTTAAAAGTCCCCTGAAAGTTAGGAACACAAAGTGTACATGTTTCAATGAGTACTCAGTGGAGTACTCACCATATGCTTACTTCATCCTCTGAACTTTTGGACATTGTCACGCTAGGCTAGATAAACTTATAGGCCAATCTAGTCTTCTATGTTATTACCTTCTTACAGAAAAGATTCATGAGAGACTGTGAAATACCTTATTTTTGTCTTTTGCTAGGTTCATTTTAAAAAAAAAAAAAAAAAAAAAAAAAAGAGTACTGGTTAAAAAAACAAATCTTCCATGAAACAAACAAATGAACAGGACTTGTAACAGCTATTAGCTCCCTTTCCCTTCAAAATGAAGAAGAAACTTTCAAAAAGTGTGTCTAACCACTTTGGTAGATGACTTAAGTTCTTTAAATACTAGATTCAAATTCCAAACATCATGTTACTTCTAAGTGAAGGGTATTAGGGTGATGCTTCCCTACGAAAGGCTACTAAAAGGCAATGCTTTATAATATTCCCTCTACTATTAATTGACACCAACTTTCAAGATTAGAAAGATTAACCAACAAGGCTTTTGAAAGAACCTCGAACAAATATGTTTACAATACTTGTTCTAGCAGCATCCTGGTTCATCCACCACAAATTCATTACCTTTTATTTTCTTGTATAAGTAGAGTGTCTAGACTGATAGTACATTTGTTTACTGTATTGAATTCCTGATCAACACCCAGTTGGACTGATTGCAATCATTCAGGACCAAACTTGTTAATTCCACAGCACATCATGTATCTAAGAGTTGCAAAGTTCGATGAGAACTAATGATTATCAGAAACTCAGAAGTAAATGAAAAAAGTTGGTTGTTGCTGTCTACCAGCCAGTGAAGAAGTTTAGATTGGGAATCTGGAAGTGACAGAAACACAGGATTGTGTTTTTGTCTGGGGAAAGTTAACAGATGGTCTGAAAAGGAGCAATTTTAAATAAGACCAGCAGCCAAGAAGAATGTGGAGACAGAAATATGATAATTTTTATCTACTCAATGCCACTGTTTTATATAACTTTGTGAAATAAAATATTTCCTTGAAGTACGACAATAGAGCTTTAACATTTTCATTGTTTTGGGACAGGATTATTGCATTGCAAATAAAAGTATTTGAAGTACATATTTACAAGATAGACTTTTTCTAAGTCTCAGAAGCATTGCTGAAAACACCACTTCAACTCTATTATCTTGTTATTGCCAAATTTGATCCAATATTATAAGTAAAATACCAAGTACTTAGCTGTGAATTAACAAAAAGAAACTTCCAGAACTACTTACCTGATTTTCTTCATGGGAAACTCTCATTTGTTCTTTAAGAACTGACATTCTGGCTGCTTCTTCCTTCCTCAATACTCTTTCTTTCTTTAATTCAGGACTCCAGAAAGTTTTGATGCTATTCATGGAGGATCCCAGCTTGCTGTCTTTAATGTCTAGTTCTTTTCTGAGAAGATCATTCTCCCTCTGTAGGTCCTTAAGCTGAGCCTGCAGGTCTAACATAGTACTATCTCTAACCTGTCTCAGCATAGAAGGAACCTGGTGGTGATGATGGTGTGAAGATGTGGTCAGACCTCCGTGTTGATCAGTGTAAGAAAGGACATCTGTGTGGGACAGTCCAGCTGAAGCAATATTAGGACTGCTTCCCATAGCTGTGACTCGACCACCATACACAGCTCGATTTGTAGCCCTTCCAAGAGTCATTGTGCCCTTTGGGAAAGTAGTAGAAGCTACACCTTCATGGTCACTCAGATACATTGGTCCAGATGTTGCATAGGCTGCATTAAGGGACTGGATGTTCTCCATTGATAACGTCTTACCTGTTCCTCCTCCTCCTCCACTACTTGTTCGCCTATGGCCCAGGCGAGGAGATCTTGGCAAACGAGGAGACCTGGAGGGACTTCCTTCTAAGTTGCTGATTGTTCTCGCACTTCCGTACATCTTTCTTCTACTTTGAGGTACTGTTTAGTAAGAAACTAGTAAGACTAAAGTTGAATATTAAATTTATAATTCCAGCTAGAAATATTGGCAGTTTCACTGTATTCTTCCAGTAGGCAAAAAACCTTCCAATTCAGGTACCTAAAAAGGACAAAAAGATATTACAAAATAAGTAAGATTTCCCCTTTGTCTTAGAAAATATTTTTACAATTAGAAAGTAAAACGCATAAGTCTTAACTACTTAAGTAACTACTTTGAACATAAAACTTACAATACATTCTATATTTAGGCTGTCAGCATTTTAAATCCAGAGAAAAAAAATGCTCATTTCTTTCTTATTAAAAATATCTTCACATTTTTATTTATTTTAACAAGCTTTCTGTTGCACTATGAACCCAAAAAAAAGCATTTTAGCAGGTAAGTGGAATAATATTAGACTTAAGTGACTGATCATGTGAAATTACATACAGGAGAATACAATAGCTGCTGTTGGCATTAAAGACTACCAAACACAAGTATTCCATTTTCAAAAGGCTGTTTAAAACAAGGAAGTTCTTTTACATAGATATCATATGGATATATACATAGAGGTTTTTAGAAGCAAGCAATGTTCTAACAGCTCAGCTTCAACCAGTAAAAATATTTCAGGAAGAAAAATTAACAAAACCAAGCTAATTTGAATATATTCTCCTAAACTGTCACAATGCAGTATTACAACACTTTCCTTATTGAATGAAGTAATGGCTTGCTAGTGTTTGTTGTTAATCAGCTTCTCAAGAAGAGGTTACATGGCTGTCATCTAGGCTTTCCTTTAGAAAAGGAGTGCCTGACAGATACAGTTTTCTTTCTTTCTTTTCCCTTATGCATATTACTTCTGACAGAACTATCTTCACAACTTACTTAAACAGATAGGTACAGATCAAATATTCTTACTGTTTTTAAATACTATACTATTACTATACATGAAATGGGTTCTATTAATTTAATTGGTGCTCATTAACCAGCTCCAGTATCATTTATTTTACAGGTAATTGGAGGAAGAGCAAAGGTTGGATCATTTAAATCCAGTAATATTTAACTGCTCCCTCACAGCATTCTCTTTACATATAGATACATTATTTTTTAAATATCTGATACAAAATATCCATCCTGCAAGTGAACAACTCTGGCATGAAAAACTACTGCAGATATTACTGTTGCCAGCAAACAAGAGGCATGCCCAGCTCTCACCTGATCCCCTGGTTGTCCCACACAAACACACAGTGCATGGTTTATATTAACTCTAAGAATTGTTCTGTATTTACCACACTTTCATCACATTTAATACTCAGCAGAGTCTAAAGCATTTTTGTTTCATTTTAATTATCATTATGCATTTAAACTAACTGAAATGTTTTCTTATTTTGATTCAATTACTATTACATATCAGTAGCCATTCCTGCAAATTTTCACCTCCTTACCAAGAGGTGAATCAAAAGCCATGAAATTTTTGAAATTTGTGAAAGATGTGAAAGCCCACGGCACTACGCAGTGGTGAGAAAGCTCAATGGAATCAAGTGAAAACAACGTCAAATATCATGGGGAGGACAGGAGAGCTGTACAGACAAGAATGCTATATTCACAACTATAAAGACCAGCCCTTCTTCTTTATAGGAGCCCAGGAAGCACAGTGACTACTAAAACTAGATCTTAGCTGCACAGAAATCATTCTTCTCATTATTAAAACAGGAAATCATTTTTCATGAAGGATAAGATTGTTTTCCTCCTGTTCACTTTGCTGGTGGTGATGGTGGTAGTTTTTGTTAGGTTTGGGTATTGGTTGGTTGGAATTTTTCTTATTTGCTTTGCTTAAACTGTGGCAAAAGGTTCCTCTTCCCTTATCCTCAATTGAAAATCGATATTTGAACTTGGAACTAATTTCTGACATTGCATCACTATGTCTTTGCTTATACTGTCCTCAAAGGCAGGCATAGCAGGGCCAGTGATTGCCATAATGTGGATCATGTAATATAAAAAGAAGAAAAAAACCCTGACAATTTATGCTTAGAAAGCTCAGGCCCCATTTAGAGTCCCTATGTCTCCTCTGGCCAGAGGCACCAAGTCAGCAGGAAGTTTGGATATTAGCCAAATCCTTAATAGCTTTGTACAACTACTTGCCAATACTCACATTCAGCCAAGGTCTCAAACATTTGTAATACTGATGAAAGCTTTAAAAGAACCTTTCCCTTACAGCTGTCCTCCCCAAATAATGTAGAGTGACAGCTCAGTGCAGAAATATCACATTGATAATTTTACACACTCAGTGGCTTCCAAACTGTCCAAAAACTGTTTAGTCATATACAGCTCCCATAATATAAACTGAAAACAACACAAGAACTCAGAGATGATGCAGAAGATACATTCTCCACTAGAATTCAACTGCCTCACATTTGGAGGAGATAGAAGATTCACAGAATAAGTTCTGTTCCATAAAAGTAAATGTTCTGGCAAACAACGTGTGTGTGTGTGTGTGTGTGTGTATATATATATATATATGTATATATATACATATTAAAACTTACCACAACAAACAACAGTGTTGTACACAAAAGCCAAGGCATACACATGTATTTAAAGTAGTGATCAAAAGGCAGAGACATTTCTGGCAGATCTTTTTAGATTACCTTGGTAGCTAACTCTTTTTAAAGGGGCTGAACACATCCTCAAAAAAAATCTCTTTTTTTCTTTTTCTTTTTTTTTTTCCTTTGCATGCTTTTTATCATCTGTGATGGCTTGGGGAAAAAAAAAGCAACCTGATACAAACTACAATGTCTTTTTTTTTTTTTTAAAGTACACCTCCTTTCTTTAATCAGAGCAGTACTGCATGCTTTATTTCAGTAAAGTAAGAAGATGGACAGTATGCTGGTTCATATGGTGGCTCTTTCAAGACCTATATTGCTTTCATCAAAAAAGGGAGCATATTTTTCTCTACTTACCATTGTCAGACTGATGAAATGATTTTTCCCCCCACTTTTCTAATCATGAGAAATAAAATCACTTAACTCTCCCCATTATTCTACTATTCCTGAGAAGTTTGAAAAATAAAACATACATGACACTAAAAGTAATCATCTTCATTTAGGTTCCTTTTAATTATCAATAAGCGTTCACTACTAATTTCACTACTTTATCTTGTAGTCAGTTAATGACAAAAACAGCGCATGTGCAGTTGTGTATAAACTTGGTTACAGAGTCTGTTTTGATCTTGCCAGTTGGTGATGTCCCTTAAGATCCAATGATGCAAAATGAAAGACGAGGCATTTCTCACCTTGCAGGAATAGCTTTTCACATCTGCATGGCTTTCATTTCTATTTCTTACTACAGAAACAGTATATGAAGAAGAATGTAATGACTGCTGAATATACATCTAATGATAAATGTGGAAATCTGTCAAGAAATCAAACGCTGCCTGGTGCAGGGACACTAATTAACACTCATCATGCAATCAGAAACTCCTGCAATGGAAATATTTGATCCAAATGCAGTATTAAATACATTGAGGAACAAGCAGTTCTGACTGAATTAGCCAGATTGTCAACTATATCAAAAATCCAAGTTCATTCTGATTTAATAGTCAGTCAAAAGAAGCAGAGTTATTTGGCATCATCCATTGTTTTAAAAGCATTGACATAACCAAGCCTTATTATACATAACATTTCAAAGATGCAATGTAAAATACCTCAGTTTATCAAAGCTCACAGTTCTGATAGTGGATCAACATTTTGTTAGCTGTCTGATCTCTGCAGCTTTCAACATTAAGATCCTTAAGAAATTTGTTGGGAAAAAAAGTTAGCAATTAATAGGGGACAGAAATGAGTACATTTCAGAACATTGAAAGCATTTCTACTGTTGGAATCTTCTCAGCTTACATGCACCATGATGATCTTCTCAGGATACACAGGTAACTCAAAGGCTAGGCCAGTATTTGGCCTAATAGCTAGGACAGAGAAAAACTCCTAATTTTTCTGTCAGCATATGTCTTGTGTGCTATATTCTGTATCCTAGCCTACATTCACTGTGCCTTCCTAATGCTCCTACAATTGTAGATCAGTTGCCTCATACTTGTGTTTCTTCCTCCATAGCAAACCTCATTCGTCAATGCAAGACTGCATTTACCAACTCATCTTTTACATGGGATTACCCTAAGGTGCCCACTTAGTCTGGCAAACAGGATCTGTAGCTTAATGTCTATTAAACAAACCAAAAAGTTAGATGCCTTTTTTTTAATTATAATTGGAACTGACTTTTCTTGGGAGGAAACATTAATGAATAAAAGCAGACATCATTACTCAGATTACCTTAAAAATTTGTCCTACGAAGTAGCACAATTTTGCTTTGCCAGAGTTTACCCAGTGACTATGTAACACTTCATAGAAACACTGAACTCCTTACAGACTGAATCACTTTTCTACTTCAATTGACAAGCCTGTGCTTAAAAGTAAGCACAAGACAAGACAACCTAAAGGTTTTCCAACCAAAATCAGATGATTGGCCTTGTTATATTATTTCTGAATTTAGAATGGCAAGAAACACCTTTCTTCCTCTTTTAAGCAATCTGCTAGTACTTAAGGACAAAAACCTAGTTTCTAAAGCTACTTCAACAGGGCACAAGTAAGTTCAAGACAGACATAAGGGACGACTGAAAACATACTAAAAAAGTGCACTTTTCAAAAGCAATACATTTCATTATTAACACAGGTAAAGAATCAAAAGGAAAACTATAAAATAGAAATTTGAGCTAAATTAATTGTGTAAAAAAAAAAAGGTAAAGAAAATAGTGGGGTAATGGGAAAAATATACAGAACTTGTCAGAAATAATGTGTGTGTGTATATATATACATACACACACACACACACACACATATATATATATATATATATATATATGCTTTGAACAGCCAAGCTTCCTTTTCTCAGCTGAAATCTCATTTGCCTTGGAGCAGCCGAAGTACAGCAAGTAGGTCACTTTGCATTTGCAACTTCACATTGCTAACTTCCTATCTGGTCCACACTTCTGCTCTGTGAGCAAAGAAATCTGAATCCATGACAAAGGGAATTATAGTCCAACTTTTTCAAACAAATGTGAGGGAGATGATGACATA